GACACTATGCATGAGTTGAACGAGATGAGTTTTGGATGATGCTTTATCATCTACATTGTGTTTTGGAAGACGTGTTCTTCTTTGGATATCTTTTGATCATGAATATGATCTGGAACGTGAACATTTTTCTGCGGATATTCGATTGGTATCCGTACCTGGCAGTGATGTGAGTGGATGAGATGTCATGTCGAAAGGGGGTATGGAAATTTGACACCCTATGGGAGCACCCTTTGGGTAAGGGTGAAGCGACATGCCATTCATCATTGGTTATATAGTTTGTGCACAGAAGATACGTGGAAGGCTACTACAAGAGTTCATCGCGTCATGGAAGATTGGTAGAGAACACTCTACTTATTACGGAAGGAATCTTGTATGTGACCATCCTGTATCACAATATTCTATTAGTCTTCGGACTTATCATTTCTGACATCAGGATGATGTCATTGATCAGTGTTGACCAGTGATTGTGGTATATTGATCAGTTCTACATCTTATTCTGGATTCGACTTGAGTCTGGTACAGCTTATTGCTTGAGCTGAAGATGCCTACATTGGTTTGACATTGAGATTGCTTCTCGTGTCGTGAACACTGAGAAGTTATTCTCTCCAAGTGATGAGAACACAACTAGAAACTCTTGGAGAAGAGTTTAAGCTAGTTGGAAATATCTGATGGAGAGAACCTACTATGCTTTGAGTCTTGGACATTGAGATGCATTGGCATTGTGAGGACAATGACCATATTTGGGCATCTTATTTGTCTGAGAGTTTTGTGATGAGATGTTTCGGTATTGTGAGGACAATACCTACATCATCGTCATCGTGACCTATGGATCATACACTTGATCTTATGGTGTGCACTTTATCGTTCCTGAGATGACTTTGGTTATCTCTATGAGGACGACATTGCTTTGAGACCAAAGTCGTGTCTACATTGTGGATTGGCTATTACAGTGGTCGAAAGACTTCAGCGATACAACTGTATTTGGCTGACCTACATTGACAATGTAGAACAGAACATTCTATTCTACATTGAGGTTGGAAGCTGTGAGATGCTATCTCTATGTGGAAAACTGATTTGGAGAAAGAACTTTGTGTTCTGACTATGTTTTGTATTCAGAAGAAGGTTGTACAGATACCTTGTGTGAATCACTTCGTTCTTGAGAAGTTAGTCAGCTTATGACTAGTGAGCTGGTTACTCACGTTTGGATGAGAACCAGTTTGATTTGAGAACTTTTGGAAGTGTTTCGATGATTTTGAATTCATCTAGTGAAATTGAGTTTTGTAGACTTCTAGCAGCTGGAATAGTTTCAACAAACCTTTATTTGAAGAACTTGAGGTTTGTTAACTGGAAACCTGAAATCGAGTTTACCAGTTGAGACATCGGCTCGAAGGACTGGTGTCAGAAGTTCATTTAATGAACAAGAGCTGCTGTGTCACATAACTTGACATAAGACAGACCGACACAGGGAACACGAACACATCTCGCTTTCTTGCTTCCTGTTTTGTTTCTGTTTTGTTTGTTTGTTGTGTTTGTGTTTCCCCGCGACTGATCGTGTTGCGTCTGGAGCGAAAAGAAGGAGCTTGACGTCTGCATGTGGGAGTCGAGGGAGAAACAATCCTTTTGACACGGTATTGCTTTAGTTTAATTAGTTTGGGAATTTACGCTCTGCGCTTGTGTTTGGTGTGCGTGGTTGGCGTACGCGTCCGCCTGCGTAGTTCTGTAGGAATTTGGATGAAGCGTTGGATCTGACCGCAGATCTGTGCACGGCGCTTTTTCTACACTCTCAGCTGCCTTTGGTTTTACATTTTAGATTGAAAATCGTATCATTAAACCATAACGCCATAAAGTAGTAAAGTGTAAAGTTGGCAATGTTTTAAAAAATCAAAGAGCTTTTTTGAAGAAAATTGAGCTTTACGATTTTACGGCTTTACGCTGCCCCTTGGTGCAATCTAAAAAACTAGGTCTGGAAAAGATTTTTAGCATGGTGTTGCACAGCACCAGCGTACCGCAACTGCAACTACTATTGGGTGACACGTTTTCATTGCTGAGAATCTGGCTGAAATTTGAAGCTATTTTCATCGCTTTATTATTTCCCTGAACCTTTTTGTTTCCCAGAGGTCTTGATCCTGAACGTCTTTTTGTTTCCGGGGTTTCTGATTTGTGTCCATCAATCCCGTATTTATGTCCCCAGGTGCCTCATTTACTTCCTTGAGTCCCATATTCATTTCCCAGAGCTCTTTATTGAGCTGCTGGAGCGCTTCGGGTTCCGTGCTCGCTGCCCTGAATTCATGATCTCCTGTTCTCCTTATTTGTTTCTTGCATCGTTTATTTATATCCGGAAGTTCATTATTTCTTTCCCCAAAAGCACTTATTTATTGTCAGTGTTTTCCATGTTGATTTTCCCGAATTCTTTTTTCCCATACCCCCGAGCTTCTTTCAAGGTTCTGAATTTCTCTGCATATTTCCCTGCATTTCGTCAGCTCCTTTATTTCCTTGTTTATTTCGATAGGTTCGCTTTTATTTGTTTATTTCGGTGAATTTTGATTTGTTTCTCTGAGTCTGAGCCCCTTGTCTTTTCTTGCTTAGCAAAGACACATAAAGTAGTTAAGTTGAAACGCCGCCCTCAATGATGACCAAATGCGTTTGTTGGAAATGTAAATTGGAGAGAAGCTTTGAAACATATGCATTACTTACTTGCCATCATCGAGAGCAGCAGTTTCGTTTGTTCACTTGTTTCTTCTTTGGTTGTTAGCCATCATTGAAGGCGGCGGTTTCACTTAATTACTTACTGTTCGTCTGCTTCGTGTTGCAAAGCAGTCCGTAGCTCATGTTTTTTATTTACATTGCAGGGACATATCGTGAAGCTGGAAATGGCTTCAAATTTCACCCGGATTCTTAGCAATGAAAACATGTCACCCAATACTAGTTGCAGTTGCGGTACGCTGGTGCTGTGCACCACCATGCTAAAAATCTTTTCCAGACCTAGTTTTTTAGATTGCACCAAGGGGCAGCGTAAAGCCGTAAAATCGTAAAGTTCAATTTTCTTCAAAAAAGCTCTTTGATTTTTAAAAAATTGCCAACTTTACACTTTACTACTTTATGGTTTTATGGTTTAATGATGCGATTTTCAATCTAAAATGTAAAACCAAAGGTAACTGAGAGAGGGCGGAATTCAAAAATAGCCACGCACTTTTTCACAAGACTAGGAATGGTGTTTTGGCCTGTTCCCGTTGCATCCTTGTCCAATGGATGAAAATTTTGTCTAAGTATTTCGCTGGTTTTGATCTTGTGGTCTTCAGGAACGCCGATTTGAACCGGTTGATCAGTTCTGAAGAACAAAAGTGACGGCGCCCACCAGCAAAAAGAACATTTATTGAAGTGTGCTTTCAAGTTTTTTGGGCACTGTTTTTCTGTTCAAAGTATTTCAGGGAAGCTGCTTTTGTCTGAAGGCACGATTGCCTGCCAGCAGTGACGACGACAACGTTTTCTTAAACGCCGCGCGTATGCGACTGCAGCGTGGCAATGAAAAACAAAGGCTATTGAGTAGACTTTGCGCTGCTCGCCGGTGAATGCCTGATGCCATTTTCTGCTTCCATTTTTGGTTGCGCTTCTTTCTAATTTTCAATAGATGAAGCCACTTTTTGGCTTCATTTTCAACATCAGCGCTTGGCTTCAAACATGTCCTTGACTATGGACAAAATTCCGCCGTTTGGGAGCATGTCTGTCATGAAGGTTTCCAGCGCAAGAAGCAACCAGTGGTGGTTCTTGACATGTCCCAAGGTGATAGCACATGCAAATCGGTTGATGGATGCTGCCTGTCGTCGTTTCCATACGCGCCTGCTTTCCAATCATTGCCGCGAACCAAGGTGAAAATGACTTTAAAGAGGGGGCTTGATTTGATACTTTTTTAGACCTGACACGGACATAGACAGTCTTGACATTCTTCTTGTCATGTTGCTGATTGAAATTATTCATCCATTGGAAAAAAGCCCAAAACACCCTTCCTAGTCTTGCGAAAAAGTTCGTGGCTATTTTGAAGAGTGCTGTCACGAAGTGAGAGCACTATCTTTAGGAGAACAGTGCAAAATTTTTCCAAAACAAAATTTTGCAACTCAGGGTAAACATCTTGGGTTCTTGTTTGGGGTCTTGCATGCCATGCGGTTTTCAAACAAACTTCTTTTATTTGAGACTGAATAACATGCGCATTCACAACAGAAATCCTAAACTCACATTCCCTTGGTCACAAATATGACTCCATATTCATGTGGCATTTTTCACATCAAGGGTGAGGTAGAGGAGGGTTAAAAACCTTCTTTTACAATCATCATTTTTCTTTTCGGCTAACGGGGGTCAATGGACACAGAACAAATCGCTGCTTTATCGAATCAGCACATCATTTCCTTGTTGTTCTTGATCCTCAGTGAACTAGCACGTCGCCTTGGGGTGCCAGTGTTTGCCGTCCCGAGCGCAGCAGCATCAGTGGACGTGGAGGCTGGTGATACTCCTACAGAGCCTGCTTCTTCAAGTCATTCCACTTGTTGTTTCGGGTGTGCAGTACCTGGGTGTTACAAGTGGTGTGAGCTAGCCATACCCCACGAAAGGCATCGTTGTTGGACACACAGCTGGGATTAAAAGATGGTTGTTGAACGTAGAGGGTTTCGCAGTCGATGGAGTCAGGGTGCAATTGCAGATCATGACAATTCAGATCATGGCTTGGGGCTTTCTTCTGACCTTGATTGCAGTTGGGAAACAGTGGAGCCTCATTGCACTGAGAATCTTTTTGGTGACCTTAGCGAGACTTGTGACTTCGATCCAACTGTTGGAGAGCTGGCTGAACAGTTCGAAGAAGTGCCGCAGGTGCCCCAGTTTTTGCGCCCCAAACCAAAAACTGCTCCATCAAAACCAGTGACTTTGTGCAAAGAGAGTGTTGCAGTCAAGCGTACAGCTGATGAGATGGCATCCAGACATGTTCACAAGATGACGTCAGATTTGAAGCAGCCATGGCAGTTCGGCCCTCTGTCAAGCTTGTTCAGCAGGCCAAAACCGTTTTGGGAAAGGTTGCAGGTGTCACAGAAGCTGCCTCTTGTTGGACTCTCAGACCACATTAATGCAAGCGCCACCAGTGGGTCAGTTCCATTGCAGATTCAACAGACAGAGATCACAGTGCGTCGCATCAAATCCTCACGTTTGGTGACGTCTTGTGACAACTATAGGCATGTTGCTCTATCCAGTTTTAAGACAATGGTCCTCCTAGATCTCAGTTGTCCTCGGCTTGGAAGATCTTCGACAAGTTTTGCAGGTACCCTATGCTCAGACGAAGAACTTGCGCAGGTCTTCATGGACGTCTTCTCACCGAAAGCAACTGGGACAATCCTGAAGAGGTGCAACGCCCTTTGGCGTTTCTCTTGCTGGATTCAGACAAGAGGTGGGGGTTCTCCTTTCAATCAGGATGAGAGCACAATTTACTCGTATGTTTGCTACTTGAGGGATTCTGGAGCTGGTGCAACAACTCCATCACAGTTTGTGGAGTCCTTGAGGTTTGCAGATGCGTTGATTGGACTTGTGCTTACTCCGTTGAAAGACCTTCTCAGCCCACGGGTGACTGGCGCTGCACACGCCTTTTACATGACCAAGAGGATCCGGAAACCTGCAGAAGTTTTAACTGTGCAGGAGATTGGTGCCCTCGAAGACGTGTGTTTGCATGGCCCTGAATTGCACCACCGGTTAATTGCAGGACTCTTGCTTTTCTGTTTTGCTGCAGCTGCAAGGTGGCATGACTCTATGTACGTTGTTGCGCTTGACCTTTCAACTGCTGGTCCCATCACGCTCCTTGAGGCCACGACGACGAAACACAAATCTTCACGTGGCAAGGAGCAACAGATGGAACTGCTGCCTTTTACAGCTCTGGGTCATGTGATCAGGGAAGAGTCTTGGGGCGCCAAATGGATGCAATCTCGAACGGATTCAGATGTTGCGACATGGGATCACTTCTTGAACTCTTGGTCGGAGAGCAGCCATGACTGGGTCAACTCCAGAATGTCAACTGCTGAAGCAACCGGTTGGTTGCGTGAGTTGCTTGAACCCTATGTTGGTTGTGGACGGGCCTCAAAGTTGACCGTCCATGGCTTGAAAGCGACGTTGTTGAGCTGGGCTGCAAAGAGCACTCTTTTCACCGCAGATGAGCAGTTGGCACTTGGACATCACGTGAGCACTCAATATAGGTCGGCCATGATCTACTCTCGTGACAACCAGATCAGCCTTTGTAAAAAGGTGCACAGCATGTTCTCGAAAATCAGAGATGGTACCTTTGATCCAGATGGCACCAGAGTTAGAAGACTGTTTCAATTAGCCTTCGACACGGCCTTGGAAATGGAGGATGATACCGCTGAGAGCTCAAGTGATTCAGAGGATGTGTCTTCAGTGGCATCTTCGGGAGGAGAGCATCGCAGCTTGGATCAGAAGAGCACTTACAGGCGTTTGGAGGCTGATAACATGGAAGCAGACTTGTGCCTAATCAACCACAACTCAAAGGTCATCCATTTGTTGGTGTGTGAGGACGAAAAATTTTGGTGTGGCAGAAACCCGTCCTCATCTTTCAAGAAGGCCGCCAAGGAAGACTTGTCGACACCAGAAGCTGTTGTGTGTGCGAGCTGTTCCCATGCATACCGAGCAGCACAGCGCGACTCACGAGCTGACACTTGATGTGAGCCGGAGTTTGTCACGACACCTGCGGCCGAAACGTTTGGCGGAGTCTTCAATTTCAGCATCTTCTCTTGCTGGTATAAAAAGATAACTTGGCAGAATACTCGTGGGTCAGTGGTGCAGACAGTCGCAAAGTTTCCACGACATGCAGGTTGTTTCAAACGATTTCTCATTTGAAGCATATCACATGTTGAGTGCCAGTGGGATTCATGCAAGTCATGAAAGCATGAAACACTTGGTAACCCAATGCCTAGCATGGTGACATGCGGCAGAGGTTCTTGAGCCAAGTGACAGGTGCTCATTCAACTTCGTGATGCATTCCCGTTGGCTCAACAGCAACCGCTTCAAAGCTGGGATCAGGCAACCTTGTGGATCTTTTCAACATGCAACCACTAGACCCCCATGTAATGCCTCATTCAACATAAATTTTCCCCATGCAATTCTTAGCACTCAATCATCTGAAATAGTCTTCAACTACCCAAACTTAGAGTCATAACTTTAAGTTTCCTTTTGCGTTCAAATTGACGCCGTGAGACGCATGGCAATTGACTCGAAGGTAGCCTTTCGGAATCGTGCAGTGGAATTGGGGATCGAGCAGGCTGAAATTGACGCTCTGGACGACGCAGGGATTCATAGCTACGCAACTTATGCATACTGCAGCACTTATCAGCCTGGACAGAATGATGACACAGCTTTGATTACATTTCTGACCACGACATTGGGCAGTGCGCCTTCAGCTGCAGCCACAACACGTTTCAGGAGATTGTTCTTTGAGGCACACGCCTTGTCCCTGGAAGATTTGAAGTCAAGGGCTGACAGGTCGGAATCCAGTGAGGCCAGAATCATCCCACTTGCAGAGAAGATGGACAGAATCCGTCAACAGAAGGAACGGCTGAGTGGCTTAAGTTTCACACCACAAAGTGAGCCATCGCATGCACTCATTGACAAGGTTTGCCAGCAGCTTGAAGACAACGTGACCACTTACATAGAGTTGAATCGTTGCACATCCAGACAGGATGAAGCCTTGCACTCTAAGATGGATACAGCCTTGGCCCTGGACAACTCAGGCAGTCTGCGGCTCAGCAAAAAGCAACGTCTGGACGATGTGAATGTAACTGGTGAGCACAAATTGCGGCAAGCCTTCTTGAGGAGATCTTTAGCGTATGACTTGTCAGGGATTGCAACTTTCGCGGTACTTGACGTATGGACCCAGAAGCCTTTTGAAAAGATGAATGAAACACCCCTGTCGAACTACAGGCATATCAGTGTTGAACAGGTGATCAATGCAGACAAGGCGCTTTGGGTCAAGGTATCAAACGATACACGTGGAAAACTGCAACCTAAGACGGGAACAGACAAACCCTTTGACGTGGCTTTTACAAGGTTTTCAGAACACCCGGAAGTCTTTCAGCACCTGACGCCTCTTTAGAGTGTTGGCCACCACAAGTCAGAGACCTTTCACTCCACCTTCGCTAGTGGGAAGGGCAAAGGAGGCAATCAGAGTGACAGCAAAGGGAAATCATCAAAGGGAAAAGGCAAGCCTGGCACAGGCATCACAGTACCTGATGACTGCGAGATTTTTGTCGATGGCAAACAACTTTGCAAGCGTTAGCAGATTGGGCGTTGCACAGCAAAAGTGAAGCCAGGAAAGCGTTGCATGGTAGGTTACCACATGTGTTGGAAGAAAAATTGCCATAAACCTCATCCGGGCAATGAGTGCCCGCACTGACTTGGGACCACACCGCGTGACAACAGTTTCACCTTGGAAGCCACCACCTTCGAAATATGTTGTGGCTCAGCTGGATTGTCAGACGCTCTAAGGCGTCTTGGCTTTCAAGTTTACCCAGTGGACCATTCAGCCAATAGACACTCACCAAAGGTCAAGGTCTTTGTCTTGGATGTGTCGAATTCAGAACAGTTGGTGCTGCTTGAATCCATGTTGCATCATTGCAGGCCGTGTCACGTCCATTTAGGACTACCGTGTGGGACCTGTTCCAGAGCCCGAGAAAGGCCAATGCCATCGAAGCTTGGGGGACACATGGGACCTCAGCCGCTAAGAAGCGCTGAACATCTTTTGGGATTCCCTACGCTCACTGGCGCTGATGAAACAAAGGTGAACCTGGCCAATCAGTTATACAGATCTGCCATTCGCATCTTACAAATTTGCATGTTCCTAGGCTGTTTGGTTTCGATCGAAAACCCTGCACGTTCATGGCTTTGGGCACTGCTAGCAGTTTTAGTCAAAGAGACGGGCAACCTCCAATTTATTGCGTGGTTTTCTGAATTGGAAAGCGTGTATTTCGATGCGTGCGCACATGGAAGCCTTCGAGACAAGCGCACAAAACTGTTAGCCACACCAGGTGCCTTCACGTTGCTGGCAGCCGATTGCCCCGGAAACCATAAACATGCATCTTGGCAACCATACAGAAGTGAGCATGGCGTCGTTTTTCCAACAGCTGCTGAAGCAGAGTACCCCAGCATCCTATGCAAGCGCATGGCACAATGCGTCCTAGACCAAGTTGTGCTGCGAGGAATTAAGCCGGTGCCCTCGAAGCGTCTGAAAGACCTGCTGAAGTTGGGTCTGGGTAGTCAAAGCCTTAAACATCCACCACTGGTACCTGAATACAAGGACTTTGCATATCTTGACGATGCCACTCCTAACCCAGCCTACAAGTTGCTTGCTGCTCCACCTCAACGGGGGCCCAACGACACTGAGCAGCACGAGACAGAAGAAGCGCCAAACAAAAGAGCGAGGACGACGTTTAAATATGGAATTTGGCACGAACCAGAAGAATTTTTACAAAAAGCCGTGGATGCAAAACATCCCATTGATCAAGATTCATTTTTGCACCAAATTACCAAGGATGCCATCGCACAGGTAGTTGGTACCTGTCCCACCAAGATGGCCAAAGATCGCTGGTCCACAGTCTTCCACATAAGAAAGCTAGCCACAGACCTCAAAAGCCGAGAGGTAGCTCTCAAAGCCGAAATGCACCCAGACGTTAGCAGATGCGTCCGCAGCAAAAACGTTTTGTTGTTGAAAAGCTCCTACACCAACTGGACTTTTGGGATATGGATGTGGTAAACCTTTTGAAAGTGGGCGTGCCCATTGTCGGACTGCAAGAACCTCCCAACGGGTATCAGCGACTCCTCGTGCCTGCAAGCATGACAGAAGATGAACTGGTCAATTCAGCCAAGTGGAGAAGAAACAGCTTGATGAGAGCAACTCGTGCCCTTTCCAAACCGGAGGAAGACGCGTTGATTGAAGCCACAGCCTTGGAAGTGGAAAAGGGCTTTCTTCAAGGCCCCTACACCGAAGAAGAAATGTCAGTCCTCATGGGGACAGATGGCTGGTCGCTCAACCCTCGTTTTGTTTTGTTCCAAGGTTCCAACCAGAAGGTTCGAGTCATTGATGATGCAAAGGAGAGTGCTGTTAACTCAGCATATTCCTCGACTGTCAAGTTGCAACTGCAGGATGTAGACTATGCAGCCGCCATGGCGCTTGGAGCAATGAAGGAAGTGGGCCTGTCGACCTCTGACGCCTTGGATTGGCTGGGCAAAACTTTCGACTTAAGCACAGCTTATAAGCAACTTGCTGTCCTTCCGGAACATCAGCTTCATGCAGTTGTCGGTTTTCCCAAAGGGGGTACGTGGCAGTTTTACAAAAGCATATCACTCCCATTTGGATGCACTGGCAGTGTGTATGGCTTTGCGCGCGTATCTCAAGCTCTATGGTTTTTGTTGTCAAAGCTCCTGAAGGCCATAACCTCCCACTATTTCGATGACTTCCGAGATCTGAGGGTTGTCGAGTTCTGATGCTAGCCTTCAGTGCTCTCCTTGACTTGCTTGGTTGGGATCACGCTAAAGAGGGAGATAAGGCCTTGAACTTTGCAGCTGACTTTGACTTGCTTGGAGTTACATTCAACCTTGGTGACATGCGTTTGGGCACCTTAACCATCTGCAATGAAAAGAGCCGACTGGAAAAGCTGTGTTCCATGTTGTCTCAAGTGGAGAAAGACGGTTGCATTACACCTGCCAAAGCAAGCGAGTTACAAGGGTTGTTGAACTTTGCAGTGAGCTTTTACCTAGGTAGGAGCCTGAAACATGTGGTTTCTGCATTCCTGCCTTTTGCAGATAGGGCCCGTGGCAACAACCATGCCGACCTTGTGAACCTTTGCGCCTACACGCGTGCGATGCTTTTGGACCAACGACCAAGGGCTCACTCCGTTCTCAGTTGCAGCACACCAGTGGCAATTTTCACTGATGGTGCTTGGGAAGGAGGTAAGGCTACAGCTGGTGCCGTCCTGATCGATGGCCAGACCCGACTTGCCTTCAAAATTTCAGTGCCGGGCGAATTGGTTGCTCACTGGGTGCGACTGGCTGGTGAGCAGATAATTTCTCAAGTAGAACTGTGGGCCCTGGTATGCCTCAAATGGTCGCAGAGGGAACGCCTTTTGAATCGCAGGGTCATCGAATGGATAGACAACGAAGCAGCGCGAGTTTCTGTTATCAAAGCCAACAGTAGCTCCTCCACGATGCGATCGTTGTCCCGGGTCATGGCGGACATAGACCTGAAGTGGCCCACATTCAGCTGGACCGAAAGGGTGTGTTCGTATTCAACCCCGCTGACCTCCCTTCGAGAGATCGTTTGCAAGAAGCCTTGGAAAAGTACAACCTCGAAAATGGAGGCGTCCTTGAGGCTTCAACCGAGTTAGTGAATTTCATAATGCAACTGCACCAGTGCCCATACGATGCTGCTCCGACAGAAGGGGGGATATCACTGAGCACCATCCCTTGTGACAACTCACAGCCGTGAGATTCACATGAAGTATCGAAGCAGATCCAAACAACTGCTTCCGTGGCATGCTTGGTGGCCGAAATCCACAGAAAGAATCCCCGGACCAACTGTTAAGCAGCAGCGGGAAAAAGGCAGATCATGTGCGATTTTCACTGACGGCATTTCTCAATCCATTTTTCCAAGAGTTGATTTTCATGTGGCGACGGCGTTGCGTATCGAACCTTATTTTTACCTTTTATATGCGAGTATATATACAAATAGATATACTCGTTTTTCTGTTATGTTGTTTGCGCGTTGTTTCAGTCGTACCGCGTTGTGCCCTTCCCTAACGTTTACCTGAGTTTGTTCTAGTATAAGATGAGTGCTGTCACGAAGTGAGAGCAGTATCTTTAGGAGAACAGTGCAAATTTTTTCCAAAACAAAATTTTGCAACTCGGGGTAAACATCTTGGGTTCTTGTTTGGGGTCTTGCATGTCATGCGGTTTTCAAACAAACTTCTCTTATTTGAGACTGAATAACATGCGCATTCACAACAGAAATCCTAAACTCACATTCCCTTGGTCACAAATATGACTCCATATTCATGTGGCATTTTTCACATCAAGGGTGAGGTAGAGGAGGGTTAAAAAACCTTCTTTTACAATCATCATTTTTCTTTTCGGCTAACGGGGGTCAATGGACACAGAACAAATCGCTGCTTTATCGAATCAGCACATCATTTCCTTGTTGTTCTTGATCCTCAGTGAACTAGCACGTCGCCTTGGGGTGCCAGTGTTTGCCGTCCCGAGCGCAGCAGCATCAGTGGACGTGGAGGCTGGTGATACTCCTACAGAGCCTGCTTCTTCAAGTCATTCCACTTGTTGTTTCGGGTGTGCAGTACCTGGGTGTTACAAGTGGTGTGAGCTAGCCACACCCCACGAAAGGCATCGTTGTTGGACACACAGCTGGGATTAAAAGATGGTTGTTGAACGTAGAGGGTTTCGCAGTCGATGGAGTCAGGGTGCAATTGCAGATCATGACAATTCAGATCATGGCTTGGGGCTTTCTTCTGACCTTGATTGCAGTTGGGAAACAGTGGAGCCTCATTGCACTGAGAATCTTTTTGGTGACCTTAGCGAGACTTGTGACTTCGATCCAACTGTTGGAGAGCTGGCTGAACAGTTCGAAGAAGTGCCGCAGGTGCCCCAGTTTTTGCGCCCCAAACCAAAAACTGCTCCATCAAAACCAGTGACTTTGTGCAAAGAGAGTGTTGCAGTCAAGCGTACAGCTGATGAGATGGCATCCAGACATGTTCACAAGATGACGTCAGATTTGAAGCAGCCATGGCAGTTCGGCCCTCTGTCAAGCTTGTTCAGCAGGCCAAAACCGTTTTGGGAAAGGTTGCAGGTGTCACAGAAGCTGCCTCTTGTTGGACTCTCAGACCACATTAATGCAAGCGCCACCAGTGGGTCAGTTCCATTGCAGATTCAACAGACAGAGATCACAGTGCGTCGCATCAAATCCTCACGTTTGGTGACGTCTTGTGACAACTATAGGCATGTTGCTCTATCCAGTTTTAAGACAATGGTCCTCCTAGATCTCAGTTGTCCTCGGCTTGGAAGATCTTCGACAAGTTTTGCAGGTACCCTATGCTCAGACGAAGAACTTGCGCAGGTCTTCATGGACGTCTTCTCACCGAAAGCAACTGGGACAATCCTGAAGAGGTGCAACGCCCTTTGGCGTTTCTCTTGCTGGATTCAGACAAGAGGTGGGGGTTCTCCTTTCAATCAGGATGAGAGCACAATTTACTCGTATGTTTGCTACTTGAGGGATTCTGGAGCTGGTGCAACAACTCCATCACAGTTTGTGGAGTCCTTGAGGTTTGCAGATGCGTTGATTGGACTTGTGCTTACTCCGTTGAAAGACCTTCTCAGCCCACGGGTGACTGGCGCTGCACACGCCTTTTACATGACCAAGAGGATCCGGAAACCTGCAGAAGTTTTAACTGTGCAGGAGATTGGTGCCCTCGAAGACGTGTGTTTGCATGGCCCTGAATTGCACCACCGGTTAATTGCAGGACACTTGCTTTTCTGTTTTGCTGCAGCTGCAAGGTGGCATGACTCTATGTACGTTGTTGCGCTTGACCTTTCAACTGCTGGTCCCATCACGCTCCTTGAGGCCACGACGACGAAACACAAATCTTCACGTGGCAAGGAGCAACAGATGGAACTGCTGCCTTTTACAGCTCTGGGTCATGTGATCAGGGAAGAGTCTTGGGGCGCCAAATGGATGCAATCTCGAACGGATTCAGATGTTGCGACATGGGATCACTTCTTGAACTCTTGGTCGGAGAGCAGCCATGACTGGGTCAACTCCAGAATGTCAACTGCTGAAGCAACCGGTTGGTTGCGTGAGTTGCTTGAACCCTATGTTGGTTGTGGACGGGCCTCAAAGTTGACCGTCCATGGCTTGAAAGCGACGTTGTTGAGCTGGGCTGCAAAGAGCACTCTTTTCACCGCAGATGAGCAGTTGGCACTTGGACATCACGTGAGCACTCAATATAGGTCGGCCATGATCTACTCGTGACAACCAGATCAGCCTTTGTAAAAAGGTGCACAGCATGTTCTCGAAAATCAGAGATGGTACCTTTGATCCAGATGGCACCAGAGTTAGAAGACTGTTTCAATTAGCCTTCGACACGGCCTTGGAAATGGAGGATGATACCGCTGAGAGCTCAAGTGATTCAGAGGATGTGTCTTCAGTGGCATCTTCGGGAGGAGAGCATCGCAGCTTGGATCAGAAGAGCACTTACAGGCGTTTGGAGGCTGATAACATGGAAGCAGACTTGTGCCTAATCAACCACAACTCAAAGGTCATCCATTTGTTGGTGTGTGAGGACGAAAAATTTTGGTGTGGCAGAAACCCGTCCTCATCTTTCAAGAAGGCCGCCAAGGAAGACTTGTCGACACCAGAAGCTGTTGTGTGTGCGAGCTGTTCCCATGCATACCGAGCAGCACAGCGCGACTCACGAGCTGACACTTGATGTGAGCCGGAGTTTGTCACGACACCTGCGGCCGAAACGTTTGGCGGAGTCTTCAATTTCAGCATTTTCTCTTGCTGGTATAAAAAGATAACTTGGCAGAATACTCGTGGGTCAGTGGTGCAGACAGTCGCAAAGTTTCCACGACATGCAGGTTGTTTCAAACGATTTCTCATTTGAAGCATATCACATGTTGATTGCCAGTGGGATTCACGCAAGTCATGAAAGCATGAAACACTTGGTAACCCAATGCCTAGCATGGTGACATGCGGCAGAGGTTCTTGAGCCAAGTGACAGGTGCTCATTCAACTTCGTGATGCATTCCCGTTGGCTCAACAGCAACCGCTTCAAAGCTGGGATCAGGCAACCTTGTGGATCTTTTCAACATGCAACCACTAGACCCCCATGTAATGCCTCATTCAACATAAATTTTCCCCATGCAATTCTTAGCACTCAATCATCTGAAATAGTCTTCAACTACCCAAACTTAGAGTCATAACTTTAAGTTTCCTTTTGCGTTCAAATTGACGCCGTGAGACGCATGGCAATTGACTCGAAGGTAGCCTTTCAGAATCGTGCAGTGGAATTGGGGATCGAGCAGGCTGAAATTGACGCTCTGGACGATGCAGGGATTCATAGCTACGCAACTTATGCATACTGCAGCACTTATCAGCCTGGACAGAATGATGACACAGCTTTGATTACATTTCTGACCACGACATTGGGCAGTGCGCCTTCAGCTGCAGCCACAACACGTTTCAGGAGATTGTTCTTTGAGGCACACGCCTTGTCCCTGGAAGATTTGAAGTCAAGGGCTGACAGGTCGGAATCCAGTGAGGCCAGAATCATCCCACTTGCAGAGAAGATGGACAGAATCCGTCAACAGAACGGCTGAGTGGCTTAAGTTTCACACCACAAAGTGAGCCATCGCATGCACTCATTGACAAGGTTTGCCAGCAGCTTGAAGACAACGTGATCACTTACATAGAGTTGAATCGTTGCACATCCAGACAGGATGAAGCCTTGCACTCTAAGATGGATACAGCCTTGGCCCTGGACAACTCAGGCAGTCTGCGGCTCAGCAAAAAGCAACGTCTGGACGATGTGAATGTAACTGGTGAGCACAAATTGCGGCAAGCCTTCTTGAGGAGATCTTTAGCGTATGACTTGTCAGGGATTGCAACTTTCGCGGTACTTGACGTATGGACCCAGAAGCTTTTTGAAAAGATGAATGAAACACCCCTGTCGAACTACAGGCATATCAGTGTTGAACAGGTGATCAATGCAGACAAGGCGCTTTGGGTCAAGGTATCAAACGATACACGTGGAAAACTGCAACCTAAGACGGGAACAGACAAACCCTTTGACGTGGCTTTTACAAGGTTTTCAGAACACCCGGAAGTCCTTCAGCACCTGACGCCTCTTTAGAGTGTTGGCCACCACAAGTCAGAGACCTTTCACTCCACCTTCGCTAATGGGAAGGGCAAAGGGGGCAATCAGAGTGACAGCAAAGGGAAATCATCAAAGGGAAAAGGCAAGCCTGGCACAGGCATCACAGTACCTGATGACTGCGAGATTTTTGTCGATGGCAAACAACTTTGCAAGCGCTGGCAGATTGGGCGTTGCACAGCAAAAGTGAAGCCAGGAAAGCGTTGCATGGTAGGTTACCACATGTGTTGGAAGAAAAATTGCCATAAACCTCATCCGGGCAATGAGTGCCCGCACTGACTTGGGACCACACCGCGTGACAACAGTTTCACCTTGGAAGCCACCACCTTCGAAATATGTTGTGGCTCAGCTGGATTGTCAGACGCTCTAAGGCGTCTTGGCTTTCAAGTTTACCCAGTGGACCATTCAGCCAATAGACACTCACCAAAGGTCAAGGTCTTTGTCTTGGATGTGTCGAATTCAGAACAGCTGGTGCTGCTTGAATCCATGTTGCATCATTGCAGGCCGTGTCACGTCCATTTAGGACTACCGTGTGGGACCTGTTCCAGAGCCCGAGAAAGGCCAATGCCATCGAAGCTTGGGGGACACATGGGACCTCAGCCGCTAAGAAGCGCTGAACATCTTTTGGGATTCCCTACGCTCACTGGCGCTGATGAAACAAAGGTGAACCTGGCCAATCAGTTATACAGATCTGCCATTCGCATCTTACAAATTTGCATGTTCCTAGGCTGTTTGGTTTCGATCGAAAACCCTGCACGTTCATGGCTTTGGGCACTGCTAGCAGTTTTAGTCAAAGAGACGGGCAACCTCCAATTTATTTCGTGGTTTTCTGAATTGGAAAGCGTGTATTTCGATGCGTGCGCACATGGAAGCCTTCGAGACAAGCGCACAAAACTGTTAGCCACACCAGGTGCCTTCACGTTGCTGGCAGCCGATTGCCCCGGAAACCATAAACATGCATCTTGGCAACCATACAGAAGTGAGCATGGCGTCGTTTTTCCAACAGCTGCTGAAGCAGAGTACCCCAGCATCCTATGCAAGCGCATGGCACAATGCGTCCTAGACCAAGTTGTGCTGCGAGGAATTAAGCCGGTGCCCTCGAAGCGTCTGAAAGACCTGCTGAAGTTGGGTCTGGGTAGTCAAAGCCTTAAACATCCACCACTGGTACCTGAATACAAGGAATTTGCATATCTTGACGATGCCACTCCTAACCCAGCCTACAAGTTGCTTGCTGCTCCACCTCAACGGGGCCCAACGACACTGAGCAGCACGAGCGAGACAGAAGAAGCGCCAAACAAAAGAGCGAGGACGACGTTTAAATATGGAATTTGGCACGAACCAGAAGAATTTTCACAAAAAGCCGTGGATGCAAAACATCCCACTGATCAAGATTCATTTTTGCACCAAATTACCAAGGATGCCATCGCACAGGTAGTTGGTACCTGTCCCACCAAGATGGCCAAAGATCGCTTGTCCACAGTCTTCCACATAAGAAAGCTAGCCACAGACCTCAAAAGCCGAGAGGTAGCTCTCAAAGCCGAAATGCACCCAGACGTTAGCAGATGCGTCCGCAGCAAAAACGTTTTGTTGTTTGAAAAGCTCCTACACCAACTGGACTTTTGGGATATGGATGTGGTAAACCTTTTGAAAGTGGGCGTGCCCATTGTCGGACTGCAAGAACGTCCCAACGGGTATCAGCGACTCCTCGTGCCTGCAAGCATGACAGAAGATGAACTGGTCAATTCAGCCAAGTGGAGAAGAAACAGCTTGATGAGAGCAACTCGTGCCCTTTCCAAACCGGAGGAAGACGCGCTGATTGAAGCCACAGCCTTGGAAGTGGAAAAGGGCTTTCTTCAAGGCCCCTGCACCGAAGAAGAAATGTCAGTCCTCATGGGGACAGATGGCTGGTCGCTCAACCTTCGTTTTGTTTTGTTCCAAGGTTCCAACCAGAAGGTTCGAGTCATTGATGATGCAAAGGAGAGTGCTGTTAACTCAGCATATTCCTCGACTGTCAAGTTGCAACTGCAGGATGTAGACTATGCAGCCGCCATGGCGCTTGGAGCAATGAAGGAAGTGGGCCTGTCGACCTCTGACGCCTTAGATTGGCTGGGCAAAACTTTCGACTTAAGCAAAACTTATAAGCAACTTGCTGTCCTTCCGGAACATCAGCTTCGTGCAGTTGTCGGTTTTCCCAAAGGGGGTACGTGGCATCGCCATAGCTAGAGATTCCCAAAGCATCGCCAGAGGCGAAAGCTACGGCTGAGGTGACCAGCCCGCCTGCGGATGAGACACTTGGAGCGCCACCCAGTTTGGTTGCAGTGCCAGGTCAGGGACGGTTGTCTGCAGTGACAGTGCATGGACCACCGCAATTGGCATCTCAGGCATCTTCACAGGCGCCATCGACTCCGTGGTCACAGGCTCCAATTGCTCCAGGAGGAGATACAGAAGTTTGTGTGGCATGTCAGGGGAGTGGATTGTTGAATGCGCAGGTGAACCTGCGACTTTTCCGATTGATTGGAAGCGGTCAGCTCCGATTGGCTGGGCAGACTACTCCAGTCGCACCTACGACTCCAGCTCCTGCTGCTGCACCATCCTATACATAAGGTCCATAGTTCCTTGCAGAAAGTGCTCGAAAAAGAAGATAAAACTAAGATTGAAAAATGTAACCATCCTTGCAAGTCTTTTACGGCAAGTGACATACCTGTTTTCACATGCCATTCTTGCATCCATGTTTCAAGTAGCAACAGTAATTCATTCTATGTGATCTTGAGGCGCTTCCTTTCAAGGGAAAATAAACATGGTAGCGGAGCCGTGATCTGCCTACCCTTTGGGTGCAGGGAGCTCCAGTACTGGGGACAGGACCCACATCCCCAAACTAGGTGAGGCAGGACCCAGACCTCACGAGGGTTGTAGAGAGCCATAGCTCCTTTGCTGTTTGACTGGATTCTGGCGTTGGTGACGTTTTCACCTTACTGGATTTCATTTGGCGGTTTTTGGAGTTCAAGGGTTTGACAGTTTGGCTTTAACTGCACAGCTTGGCATTTACAGATTTCATTTGCTGCTTGTGGTGCTTGACGTTTTGAAATTGGTGGTTGAGAGATGGATCCAACTACGCTCATTCAATCAGTGCAGCAAGCTGCCTTGGCAGCTTCACAGGCTGCCCAGGCGCTACGTGAGGCAAACGAGAAACGTGGAAGTGGCTATGCAGAAGCCAACAAAATCATTCAATGTCCAAAGGAGTTTGGCCATGCAACTACGTTGGAAGATCAGAGTCAGTGGAGTGATTTTGCTTTCTCATTCAAATCATGGCTTTTCTTTGCAGAACCTGCTTTTGAGGTTGACATTCAGTACGTGGAGGATCACCCTTCAATCCCGGTGACATACCAGGACAATCCCAGTGGTGCAGCTTCAAAAGAGCGCTCAAGGAAACTGTATTCAATTTTAGCTGGAATTTTGAAACAGAGACCACTCAAAACCTTGCGTCAAGTGGGAGACGCAAATGGACTAGAGGTATGGAGACAACTGCATGGACTTTACATGCCAAAGACCAAAGGGCGTGCGCTTGCTCTTCTCAACGCTTTGATGGGAATGCCAGCGTTCACAAAAGAGCGTACATGCTTGGAGCAGATTCAGAACATGGAAAGGCTGTCAGAAGAGTATAGGAAAGCCAGTGGACAAGAGATCAATGATGATATCCTTCTTTCAACTTTGATACGTGTTCTTCCACGCCATATTCAACAGCATATTCAGTTGTCCATGGATGAGCAGAGTTCATTTGCACAGGTGAAGGACAGGGTCTTGGCCTATGAAAGGGTTTCCTCAACTTGGACTAAAGACAGGGTTCTTGCAGATGCTGGAATTGCTCCTCTAGGGGCGGTCAGTTCCTACGCAAACGATGGAGGCGCTTCAGCACCAATGGAGATCAACATGATCAAAGGCAAGGGCAAGTGGAAAGGTAAGCAACAGTCTGACAAAGGCAAATCGAAGGGCAAATCGGGTTTTGACAAAGGTAAGCCAAAGGGCAAGCAGTTTGACAAGGGCAAAGGCAAGTCCAGCAGTAAGGGTGCTGGAGACAGTTCCAAAGGCTCCCAGAAGGGTCAGCCTGGAGCCAAGCTAGACTCAAACGTTTGTGCATACTGTGGAAAGTATGGGCATTGGCAGAGAGACTGTTTGAAGAAGAAGTCAGATCAGCAGAACAAGCAAGTGCGTGTTGTTGAAGATGCCGGTGATTCCAAAACTGATACAACTTACAGCAGCACCACAGCCTCAACTGCTGCAGCTTCGGTCAGAATGGTTTCAATAGCTGACACTTCACATGCACATGGCTTGGTTGAAGATCTTACGGTTTTTTCATTGCCTTCAAGCTCGTCTAGCCCTTTTCAGTTGTGCATGATTTCAAGTTGTGACCAGTTTGACATGTCTAGCACTGACAGTGACATGAACTGGACGATCAGCCCTGACCTTACTTTGCTTGAGACTTGTTGCAGTGACGATTCAATTTGCAGTTGCATTCATGGCCACGTTCGAGTCGTGTCAAATGTTGCTGCACATCAGTCTTCCATGCCTTGTGATGTGATACTTGATTCTGGTGCTGATACCAGCGCTTTGCCATTGCGTTTCAGTGGAGTTGGAACAGCCTGTCCAAGCCCCAATACAACGTTTGTTGATGCTCAGGGTAGTCCTTTAGCAGTTGAGTCAACGCGTCTTGCAACAGTGCAGTTTGGAGATGTCATCTTTCGTGAAAAGTTCATTGTAGCTGATGTCACAACACCTCTTATAGCTTTGGGCCACATCATCAGATCTGGTTGGAGTTTGGTGCAGCAGGAACATGGGCCTTGCTTGATGAAAGATGGCCATTGCATCAATGTGTTGTATCGAAACAACTCACTTTGTGCTCGAGGTTCTATTTCAATGATTTGTGAGGTGGAGCCAGAGGAGTCCATTCAAGCAATTCGAGTTGTGCAGCCTGGCATTGTTCT